TTGGCCGCAAAAAGTGGAGAGCGCTTTGCTTATGACTCGTACAGACGTTTCCTAGACATGTTTGGAGATGTTGTAAGTCTTAATTGATGCATCTAGCAATGTTCATATGCGAAAATTTATGATATTTTTTCTCAAGATGTATTATGAATTCATCCATTTTATGTTTGAAGGTTATGGGAATTCCACACTCATCGTTCGAAGAGAAATTGGAAAAACTAAAAGGTAAAAAAGGAGTTGAGCTTGATACAAAGCTAACAGCTTCTGATCTTAAAGAGCTGGTAGACCAATACAAAAATGTCTATCTCGAAACGACGGGTGAAAAGTTCCCTTCAGGTACACAGTAAAACGACAACAACTTCATATTTTCCACTTTTTTCATGGCACAACTCTATGTTTACATGTCCTTGTCCCATGTATATTTGCAGATCCAAAACAACAGCTCCTCTTGGCTGTTAAAGCAGTTTTTGATTCTTGGGACAGCTCAAGGGCCATTAAATACCGGAGCATCAATCAGATAACTGGTTTGAAGGGAACCGCGGTTAACATTCAATGCATGGTTTTCGGGAACATGGGAAATACTTCAGGGACAGGTGTTTTGTTCACTAGGAATCCAAGCACCGGAGAAAGGAAGCTTTATGGCGAATTTTTAATCAATGCTCAGGTATTTGATACAATTATGCCAAACTTCTCCTTCTAAGTCGATAGTAATAGACTGTTTTTTGTTAGGGTTTTATGAGTAGCTCAAAAATTGAAATGAATAGGGAGAAGATGTAGTTGCCGGGATCAGGACACCAGAAGACGTGGATGCTATGAAAAATTGCATGCCGGAAGCTTACAAGGAGCTTGTGGAGAACTGTGAAATTCTAGAAAAACATTACAAAGATATGATGGTAAGAGTTATCATTTCCATATATGATATATTCCTATCAGTATTACATTCACATCTTTTTGGTTTATCGGAGCATACAGTTTTTTTAAAGCATGGGGAATATTTGCAGGACATTGAGTTCACAGTCCAAGAAAATAGGTTGTGGATGTTACAATGCCGCGTTGGAAAGCGTACTGGCAAAGGAGCAGTTAAGATAGCTGTAGACATGGCTAACGAAGGGCTTGTGAATAAGCATGCTGCAATCAAGATGGTGGAACCACAGCACCTTGACCAACTTCTTCATCCACAGGTATTTATGCTCATTTCTAAGTTTACATATCATAGGCCGATTTGTATAATGTACCCATGGATTTATGACTTCCTTATGTATACATTTGTCTGATTAGTTTGAGAATCCAACGGCTTACAAAGACAAAGTGCTCGCCACTGGGTTACCTGCATCTCCAGGAGCAGCAGTAGGACAAGTCGTGTTCAATGCAGAAGATGCTGAATCATGGCATGCACAAGGAAAGAAAGTTATCCTGGTAGGCTAAATAATCATATTTATCTTCCGGAATATGTTGAGCCATGGCCCTATTTCATCATTGAGAATCGTTGTTGTGCACTATTACAGGTAAGGACTGAAACTAGCCCCGAAGATGTTGGGGGTATGCATGCTGCTGCTGGAATCTTGACAGCTAGAGGTGGCATGACATCTCATGCGGCTGTTGTAGCCCGTGGGTGGGGTAAATGTTGTGTTTCTGGCTGCGCTGACATCCGAGTAAATGACAGAGAGAAGGTGGTTATAACAGCTTTCCTTTGTAAGCAATATATTTTTTCTATGAGGTATCAAGAGAATGGTATTAAATGAGGGTTATTCATTGATTATACAGCTGGTTTTGATCGGGAAAACGGTGGTCAATGAAGGAGAATGGCTTTCACTCAATGGATCCACTGGTGAAGTCATATTGGGAAAACAGCCACTTTCTCCTCCTGCTTTGAGTGGCGATTTGGAAACCTTTATGTCTTGGGCTGATAAAGTCAGGCGTCTCAAGGTGACTTATTTCCTTCCCTTTTTCCCTTTTCACTAGTACGAGTACCGATTTCTCTAACAATGTTCATGGTAATGTTGCAACAGGTGATGGCAAATGCTGACACGCCTGAAGATGCGCTAACAGCAAGAAATAACGGTGCACAAGGGATTGGACTTTGCAGGACAGAACACATGGTAATTATTTGTCGTTGCTAAAATGTTTGGCTGTTAACAAATAATGTCAGGTTGTAGATCTCTTATGATATTTCGCATGTTTTTTATGTTTCAGTTCTTTGCTTCGGATGATAGAATAAAGGCAGTAAGAAAAATGATCATGGCGGCTACACCTGAACAGAGGAAGGCAGCAATGGACCTCTTACTTCCATATCAGAGATCTGACTTTGAAGGAATTTTCCGTGCAATGGATGGTATTTTTCACAAATTTGATTTATAAATTTGAATTTGTTAGTATGTTTACCTCATTGACAAAATTCCCTACGATTGTTAGGACCGTAGTATATGTATTTAAGATTTTATCAATATTTTGCTTTAACTTTGTAGTTTTATTAGCTTATTTATCACATAAATTTATGAAATTTCAGGTCTTCCGGTAACAATCCGCCTGTTAGACCCTCCACTGCATGAATTTCTTCCAGAAGGTAACTTGGAGCAGATTGTTGGCCAACTAACTACAGACTGGCATGACTGAGGATGAAGTTTTCTCCAGAGTTGAAAAATTATCAGAAGTGAACCCCATGCTTGGTTTCCGCGGGTGCAGGTTTGGTGGCTCTTCATTCTTCACATGGGCTCTCCAATCTAAATATTTACTCCACTTTTAATTTTCCAGAAAACGTTCTTTAATTGATGAACTTCATTCACTTGGTTTAGTAACTTCATAGTTCTTATGCATCATAAACTTGGTTGCCTATCACGTTGGATCTATGTTATTTGCAACTATGACAAAAGTTTCATATCTCAGTGTCACATGTTTTTGCTGCACGAATGCTTCTATGCATAAATGAGTTGATAAAATTTAAACGAAGAACTTCTAATGTGTCAACAGGCTAGGGATATCCTACCCAGAGCTCACCGAAATGCAGGCATGCGCAATCTTTCAAGCTGCAGTCACAATGAGCAACCAGGGTGTCAAAGTTTTCCCTGAGATAATGGTTCCCCTTGTTGGAATACCTCAGGCATGATCCTGCATTCTTTTTCTTCACTTTCTCATTTCTCATTATTTATTTACGATATTAGATTCATAATTTTTCATTTTTTTTTTGGTAAACATGCTGACTTCATAATTCATTCATACGGATTTGTGAGAAATGCAAAGTGATAGAGATTTCATCCTAAATGAAATTTTTGCCTTCAGGAACTGGGTCATCAAGTGAAGCTCATTCGCAGTGTTGCGGTTAACGTGTTCTCTGAGATGGGTACCACCGTGAGCTATAAGGTTGGAACTATGATCGAGATCCCTAGAGCTGCTCTGGTTGCAGATGAGGTAAGAGTAAATTGATAGGCTGACTTTGTTATTTCCATGTAGATTGAAGAATTATTCATATTCTGCTGAATAATATCTTATTTTTCTTTGATCTACGATGATAGATTGCAAAGGAAGCTGAGTTCTTCTCCTTCGGGACCAATGATCTCACACAAATGACATTCGGGTACAGTAGAGATGATGTGGGCAAGTTTCTACCTATTTACCTCTCCAAAGGCCTTCTTCAAAACGATCCCTTCCAGGTTAGTCGCATATTATGCAAGTCCATGCGGGCTTCATCACGAATGGGTTTTCTTGGATATTACCAGAATCGTCTCACAAGGATTTCTGCAGGTACTTGATCAACAAGGCGTTGGGCAGCTCGTCAAGATGGCAACGGAAAAGGGTCGTGCAGCTAGGCCTAGCTTAAAGGTAACCAGCAATGCACAAGCATTGTATATGAAATTGGGGTGTCAACTTGATATGAATGATGCGTCATACGGTAACAAGATTTTTCTTCTTCCATTTTTCTCTTCTTCTGATAATTTCCCACGTGATTATAAACAAACAGGTTGGAATATGCGGAGAGCATGGTGGAGAGCCTTCTTCTGTTGCATTTTTTGCAGAGGCCGGACTAGACTACGTTTCATGTTCTCCATTAAGGTTTTCATTTTCTTTCACCTGTCTACATAAGTTGCATGTCTATAACCAGATCGATTACTGATTCAAATTCCTTGACAGGGTACCTATTGCTAGGCTAGCAGCAGCTCAAGTTGCTGTCTCAGAAAGATCTGCATAACTGGTGACTCTGAGCTTGTAAATAAATGCAGTTTATCAGTATTCATTCAAGTCCTTTATCTTAGAAACCAAAATAAAGGAGAATTATGTAGTTCTTTTATTTCATGTTATTTTTCAAGAACTGAGGAAAATAAAGTAGACAATGTGTATAATTCTTCAGCTTCGGTCTTTGAAATAAAGTAGACAATGTGTATAATGCTTATTTTTTTTCATGTTTTTTTTCATTTCCGTTCCTGTCATTGCGCTGATCACATGTGTTACATATAACATTGGATCTTTCAAACAATTCCATACTTCTATGTATAACTACAGCACAAGTATAAGATGTATAAAATACGTATGATGAATCACTCAGCAAAGTATTCAAAAAACAATGTTGTATAAACCTCCCCAACCGTCTCTGAAGCTGACGCCTTAGCATTTTGTCACTAGACGATGCAGAGTTCAGCATTTCTAAACTCCTGACCAAGTGCACTTGCAATGCATTTCTTTAGGTAGAGATTTCAAATTTTCACAATCTTCAATCTCTAGGAGCTCAAGAGAAGTGAGGCTACGCATCCCATTATCAGGCAAAGACATGAGATCGTTGCAGGATTGGATTCTCAGAAACTTCAACATAGCAAGGGAGGAGGGGGAGGTGGAGGAGAAGGAGGAGCAGGAGGAGGAGGAGGAGGATGAGGAAGAGGCTGTTGGGCTTTCCAGAGCTGCTTTTACTACTGTCACCATTGACTTGAGCAGCTTCTCAGTGACGTTAACCATAATCAGTTCTTCGACTTGTGGAAGCATTGGCATGGACAGCAAACTAGGGGTGTCCATAATAGTTAATTTGGTGAGGGAAGGAAATGATAGCGACGTTTCGGCGTACTTCCTGTTCCCATGGTGTCGGTTTTTACTATCAGTGCTTGCCATTCCTTCAAGAGTGGCAAGTCATAAAGTACAAGCTCTTTCAAGGAGGGAAAAAACAATGCTTCTCTTTTCCCATCAACCAAACGAGTAGTGGAAGAACAGTTGGCGCCATTGTTGATGTACTTGACACAACTTAAAGAGCATATTTTGAGAAATTTCAGAGAAGGCAGTTGGTCGAATGGCTGAAGATGTTGGCATCTGTTCCAACCCTCAATAGTGATTTCAACTAGACTTGGCAAAGACAATGCGGTGTTGGTCATCAACCAGTTAGGGAATTGAACGCTGCAATACCCAGCTATGTGCAGTGCCTTCAAATTCTGATGGGGTCGGAGGCCTTCCAACAATATGTTATCTCCATTACTACCGTTGTCCTCCTCTCTGCACCAGGATAACTTTAACGACTGAAGACATTGCTTTTGGCTCAAGATTGATCTGTTCGACCCTCTTGTAACGTTTTTGACATGTTCTAAATGAACAATATGAAGCATCCCTCTGAGACAGTTCAGGCCACTCAACTCGTCTAGTCCACTAGAAGAAAGAGACTTCTTGCACAAGACGAATATTGGTAATGTCTGAAGAGAGATCAATTTTCCCAGCCCAGGCGGCATGTGGGTCAAGTTGCAGTAACCATTGATCTCCAGATGTCTGAGGCTGATCATCTTCCCGAGATTTCTAGGGAGGTGCTTAAGCCTGTAGCACCGGTTGAGTTTAAGTGTCTGCAGATTCTGAAGATTGCATATCGAACCAGGCAGTACCGCCAGACAAACATTACCAGAGAGATCAAGATACCTAAGATGAGTCAACTTTCCTATGACATCCGGAAGCTCCTTAGTTCTTAGGTTATGTAGATCCAATGCGTGCAGACACCTCAAACTTGAAATGATTGTACTGTGACTGGTGGAGATCTTATGTTTGATACTGAAGTGGTAAAACAAATGTCCTTACCTTCCTTGCTTTGAGCAACGTGGTCGGAACTTCGCATGAGGAAGGCAGATATTGGCTAAATGAAACATGATGAACTCTTTCAGATACGTTTCCTGAATCAACATTGCAAATTGAGCATTCGGATCCTGCAACTGCTCGTGCAAGATCCTGTATAAGGTCATGCATATTGCAACTAATTACTTTTCCATCAACGTCTTTCTTAACCTCTTGAAACAATGACCTCCATAACAATTCTTTGAAATATGTATCACCGGTATCTTCTAAGTTGCTGTCTTTACTTGGTGGGTGAATGTAACCTTGAGCTATCCACAGCTGGATCAACAACTTTTTATCGATTTCATATCCCTTGGGGAACAAGGCACAGTAAGAGAAGCATTGTTTCAAATAAACTGGCATGTGGTCATAGCTTAGCTTCAGTATTGCTAAAATGTCGTTCTCCTCCTTTGGAAACTCCCAATTTTCTTTATTTTGAATTGCCAGCCACTCGCTTTCGCTAGTTGTGTATCTCATCAAGCTTCCGAGAGTCCTTATTGCAAGAGGAACGCCTTGGCACTTGTTTGCAATTCTTCTTCCAATTGGCACCAACATCGGGTTCTCCTCCTCCCTTCCTTTTCTAAATGCTATTTTCTTGAACAATGTCCAACACTTTTCCTTTCGTAGACCTTGCAGCACATACGGTGAATCTATATCCATAACCAAGGTAACCTTGGTGCTACAAGTTGTTACCACAATCTTGCTTCCCTTGGCACCACCACTTAACAAATCTATTTGTACCATATTTGACCAATCCCGAAACTACTGAGCACCAGTCAACATTATACCGTCAAGGACCCAGAAGAGTTTCTCTCCAACTAGGAGGCCAATCACAGCGCGACACGTGTCTACATCAGAAGCCAATCATAGTGCGACATGTGTCAACATCAGAAGCCAATCACAACACGACACGTGTCAATGTCAAAATGAAACTAGAAACTCTCTTCTATAAATAGAGATCATTCTCTCACAATATTTCCTAATGTCATTTGTACTAAATCATTCACTTGTACTCACTAAAGGAGAGCTTGAACCTATGTACTTGTGTAAACCCTTCACAATTAATGAGAACTCCTCTACTCCATGAACGTAGCCAATCTGGGTGAACCACGTACATTTTGTGTTTGCTTCCCTATCTCTATCCATTTACATACTTATCCATACTAATGACCGGAGCAATCTAGCGAAGGTCACAAACTTAACACTTTCTGTTGTACCAAAGTCCTCACTGATTTTGTGCATCAACATTTGGCGCCGTCTGTGGGAACGACACTTATTCCCATTCTCTTCAGCTTTGTCAAGCTGGTTTCCACCATTCGTACACTTTCTTTTGACCAGGCATCTCTCTCCAACATAGGGAGCGAAGGAAGCCACAGCACACAGAATGACACCCCTCTTGCACTAAGTGCGAAGCAACGAAAGAAGGAAGGAAAAAGGGTTGCTCTTCAAGCTAAAGTTGATGAGCTAGAATCTCAAAACAACAAGATAGCAATGAAGAATGAGGTCCTCCAGGAATAGTATGAGAAGCTCTTTGAGATGCTCCACGAAACTAGGCATACTCAAACACGTGAACTCGTTACCCCTGTGGACATCAACCATCATCTGGATGCCTCCCAACAAGGAGGGTCACCTTCCTTCGACATGGGTATCCTTGATGAGGAGCGAGTTAATCATCAAAACATTGATCAACATGAGACTTCTCTCAACCCAGCTGCTTGGACCCGAAGCAGGAGAAGTGGAGGAAAACACCTCCTTGCATAAGGGTTGGAAAGATCGAAAGCCGTTTATCGTGACTGCTGAGACTTCCTAAAGTAACGTCAAGAGAATCCCTTCCACATATGCTCGAAGATCAATGACCCAAGGGTTTCTGAAAGACTTGGTCCCCTCCCACGACCAAGGCCAGCTGCTAATCTAGGGAAGGAACGACATGTCCTAGATGAACATGAAGGTACAAGGGACTCTGAGGTATTCCGACAGACTCGCCCTAGAAGTCAGTACGGCGAGTCCAATGAAAAATCACACGCCCTTGCTCAAACTTTCCTACTTCCAAGAGGAGATGAAGACTTACGAAAGAAAATCCCAGTGGTACATGACTCCACTCAAGACCCCCTTGTCCTACAGCTCATTGAGGAAGTAAACAAGTTGAAGGCCGAACGTCAGGCCGAGATATTGACTGGAACCAACCCAGGCCTGGCCCTCTCACAAGGAGGATCCTCGACACCCCCTTCAAGCGAAGACAAAACAAAAGCTTAGTTTACAACTCTATACTGGAAGGGAGGACCCAATTGAACACCTTAACCTCTTTGAGTCCACCATGGCATATTGGATGCACACCGATGAAGAGCAATGTCTTCTCTTCCACTCCACCCTCTCTGGCGGAGCTCTAAACTAGTATTGTCGTCTTCCACCTGAGACAGTAGACTCATTTGAGGAACTGAGGAAACTGTTTGTCTCTTAACACATCTTCCAGACCGATCGCTTGCATTCTGCAGATGACTTGTACACTACTCGCCAGAAGCCGGACGAGTCACTACGAGAGTATGCTGGTCGTTTCAGCCATAAGTATTCTCGCTGCGCTGAGGCAGATGACAAGACCGCCTTCAAGGCCTTCACGGCAGGCCTACGTGATTGTTTCTTCAAGTACATGATCAATGCCAACACTTGGAAGACTTACTCTGAAGTGATGGCATAGGCTTACAACCATGCCTCCGCTGAGGCAAGTACATATCAAGGAAAACCCCTCACAACCACCCCTTATCAGCAAGTAGGGAGTGGAAGCCAGATCCAACCAAATGAGAAAACCTCGACCTTCCAAACGGTAGCGGTGCTTCCCCCTGCCTTACTTAATGCTTTGCCAAGTCAACAGACATATCTCAGGGCAAAACGAAAGATTTCCATCCTCACCAGTCTCATTTTAGTAAAATGAGTAAGGGACACTACTGTGATAACCAAAGGTATCGCCATGATAATCCCCGACCCCAGGCAGTCAACACAGTGGGTCAAGCACGTGTCAGGACAGCCCCTACCCCGAGGTATGAGTATACACACCTTTGAACGCCACATGCGTGGCCATTTACCCTAGCATAGCACACTTGATACCGAAGCCAAAGCCGAGGCACCCGAATTACAAGCCCACGAAGAACACAAGCACGTTTTGCTGCTACCACGAGCATAACGGCCATGACGGCGAGAAGTGTATCACCCTTCGTGATCATATTGAAGCTTTGGCACGTGAAGGAAAAATTGATCAATTCCTCATTCACCCTCCAAGGGGTAACTGTAACCAACGCCAGGTAAATTTGATATATTCCATAAGTGGTGGCACACCCATATCTAAATCTTCCAACAGGGCCATGAAAAATAGTGAACGAGCTTTAAGGTCTGGCCACCAAGTGTTTCACGTGGAAGACATCAGGGGAGGTAAGTATCAAAAGCCTAACTGGGATCTAATATGTTTTTACCCTGAAGAAGAAAGAGGTATCATCTACCCTCACAACGACCCACTGATTGTGGAAGCTCACATAGCCAACTTTGAAGTACGATGAATCCTGGTAGACACAGGGGCTTCGGTTAATATCATGTTTGCTGAAGCTTTCAGGGCACTTAATGTAGCTAAACACTTGCTCGACCGCTCGATTTCCCCTCTGATAAGCTTCTCCGGTGATATCTTGCAATTTTGGGGAGCATACATTTACCTTTCACCATTGGTACATGCCCTTACACAGCTACCATTACCACTAACTTCCTGGTGGTTGATTGCCCAACGGCATACAATGTCATCTTGGGACGCACAGGCATCAATGATCTCAAGGTCATGGTATCCACACATATGTTGTTGATGAAATTTCCAACCCCTTATGGCAATGGTTACATTAGAGGAGATCAACTTAGTGCACGATCATGTTACAACACTTCGGTCAAGCAACAGCACCTGCCTATGCCCAAGGAAACCCTTTCTATACATGACCAAGTCATAAAGACCAGTCCAAACGAAGCCAACTTGGATCTTCATGGTGGCAACAGTCAACCCGACGATCCTTGAGATGACTCTTTCACCCAGCAAGCACAACCCGCTGAAGAGTTGGAGAAGGTCTCTATCTCAAAAGATTATCCGAATCGCATGGTGAAGATTGGTACCTTGTCACCACCCATTCGGTTGGCATTGATCTCTTTTTTGCAAGATAACACTGAGGTCTTCGCCTGGTCATACGAGGACATGCCAGGCATCTATCCCGATATAATCTGTCATCGCTTAAGTATTGACCCCAAGACCAAGCCAGTAAGACAGAAGCGAAGATCTTATGACGTTGAACGGTACGAGGCAATGAAGGCAGAAGTTGAAAAACTCAAAGGCATAGGCTTTGTCCATGAAGTCAATTATCCAACGTGGGTAGCAAATGTTGTCCTTGTTAAGAAGAATCCGACTAAGGAAAGTCTCTTGCTTCAGAAGGTCTTGTGGAGAATGTGTGTCAATTACACTGACCTAAACAAAGGATGCCCGAAAGATAGCTTTCCTCTTCTTCTCATAGACAGACTTATAGACTCTACGGCAAGGTATGAACTCCTGAGCTTCATGGATGCTTACTCAGGATACAATAAATCCTCAAGAACCCTCCCGACCAAGAACACACAGCCTTCACTACTAACAGGGGACTATATTGCTATAAAGTCATGCCCTTCAGCCTAAAGAATGCAGGAGCGACTTATCAGAGACTAGTCAATTCAATGTTCGCCGAACAGATTGGGAAGAGCATGGAAGTTTACGTTGATGATATGTTAGTCAAGAGCAAACATGCTGACCAACACATCACCAACCTATCTGAAACTTTCACCATTCTGAAGAGGTATCGAATGAGGTTGAACCCCAACAAATGTGCCTTCGGCGTAAGCTCTGACAAATTCTTAGGCTTCATGACAAATTCAAAAGACATCCAGAGCTTTACTGGCAAGGTAGCAGCCTTAACTAGGTTCATCTCTAAGGCCACCGACAGATGTGCTCCTTTCTTCAAAGAGCTTAAGGGAAGTAAGAAGTACATTACATGGACTGATAAATGTGCTGAGGCATTCAAGAACCTCAAAGACTACATGAGTCAAGCCTCTTTGCTCTCCAAACCTGAGGTTAGTGACACTCTCATTATCTATCTGTCGGTATCAGCTTTAGCAGTAAGTTTCGTTCTCATTCGAAAGGATGGTAATGTCGAACGGCCTGTCTACTACGCTAGGCCTTACAAGATGCAGAGACACGATACTCCAACATTGAGAAATTGGCTCTAGCATTGGTCATGTCTGCTCGAAAACTTCGCCCTTACGTCCAAGCACACTCTATCATCATGCTTACTAATCAGCATCTTCGACAGATACTCCAAAGTCCTGACACTTCCGGATGAATGATCAAATAGGCGATAACATTGGGTGAGTTTGACATCTCCTACCAACCAAAGCCAGCTGAGAAGGGCCAATCAGTGGCAGACTTCATCGTCGACTTCACATATCCTGTTGACATTGTTTCTACGCCTAAAGAAGTGGTTTCATTACCCTCAGAAGCTTAGAAAATAGAACCAACAGCTCCAGCATGGAGTCTATATGTTGATGGCTCGTCCAACCAACAGGGTTGTGGAGCAGGACTAGTCTTTACGACCCCTGACAAAGTGGCGATGGAGTATGTTCTTCGTTTCAAATTCAAGGCGTCGAACAATGAGGCCAAATATGAAGCCCTTCTAGCAGGCTTACGTTTGGCCGAACAC